TCGTTGCGGCGCACAACTTTCCAAGACAGTTTGACCTGTGACATTTTCCATCAAAACTCTCAGTCAATGTGTTGGAATACCAACACGGACGGTATTCATCAGACCAGAACGAATTAAAAAGGCGCCTGACGCGCTTGCAGCCAGAGCTGGGATATTGTGCAAACCATTTGCTGTTGTAATGCCATGTTCATGTTTTTAGGGGGAATATTCAACAAACTCAACAGCGATATTCAAACCCGACGAATGATATGCGGTACCCTGCAGAAATTTCTAGATCATGGACAACAAACTAGAGCCTGAAAGCAGAAGGTCACGGGGCGAGCTTCTGGGACTCTTACGCCCCTGGCTGTCTGGATTTGACATGGACTTACCCTGTCAAGTTTCATAATTTTTGGAGAACCAGAATTCTAATGGAAATCACTTCAAGAAACACTCATGTCGGAATTTTTCTGCTGTATACTTCTATTGGGGAAACTTCACACGGAGATGGCTAAAAAAAACGCATTTCATTCACGAGATGAAAATATTCATTTAAATAAAATGAAATTAGCGGAACCAAAATGGAGCCTGAAAGTAAAAAGTAATTTAACCTGAAGTACCCTGTAAGGCTTTATCAATTTTGGAAGCACATTTCCTAACTAACACCACTCCAAGAAACACTCATATCTGAAATTTTCCTTCGTTTTCCTCAAGTAATAGTGTGGCAAACGCGCATGGAGAGGGGTAAAAAAAAACGATTTTCAGTGGCGACCTTTCCCTTCCGGCTTTATCGGTACTCGGTCTCTTTGATTATTTCTTTATGCACGTTTTCTTTCACTTCATGTGCTCAAGCGAGGAGAATGAATAACGTTGTGAAGGTTACTTTATTCATTTAAATGCGTTACTGTAACTTATTTTGTGTTACATGCCTCCTTTGCACATTAACTTGTCAACGTTGATTAAACGTTGGCGTCAGGTCAGTACATTAGTGGTTCATTTTCCGTTGTCACGCGTGAGGATGACGTTTAAATCCTGGTTGCAATAAATGTTGAAACAATATTTATAGTTTGTAAGCAAGCTTAATTGAGTAAAGCTTTAGTAAGTTACCTTGAAACATATGGTAAAAGTTGGCTAGCGAGCTTGGTTGAACTATTGATCACCAAAATACGTTACCACATCCCTATGGCGTGCAAAGTTAACATTTACTCCGCGTATACAGATATCTCTATTCCAAATAGAGATGTCTCTATTAGGAATAGAGATATCTCTTTTAGTGTACGTCCTGTTTTAATAGAGATATACCTATCCGGTTCCGCACACTGGATCAACATAAAAGTCATTGTAACGTCAGGCACAACGTTTCACTGAGCCTCAAGATAATAGATTTTAAACATAAAACGTCGAGGGCGACCTGCTGGCCTCGGAAGTGGAAACTTATTAGATATATCTCTATTGGGCAATGGGGAAATCTCTTGCGCTATAACTTTGCACCGTATAGGGATTAATAGAGATATCTCTATTCCGGGATTAAATGTTAACTTGGCACGTCTAGGAACAGAGATATCTGTATATACGCGGATTAAATTTTTACGTTGCACACCATACATCCCTGTATACGGTTAATATCGTTAGTTGAACCATGATTTGAAGTGAAATCCCATTGTTTTTAGTTAGCGTGGTTCGAGAACAACGTGAAATCATCGTTTGCAACAGGTTATCACAGTTGGTTTGAATGTGATTCGTCCTAAAACGTGAAGGAAAGAGTTTTTACGGTTAACAGGGTTGGTTGAATTTTGGTTTACATAACAACGTGAAGTGTCACTTTCAGAAGGGTTTAAAGGAATTTATACATAGTTTACCTGCGGTTAACTTACCAACCTTAAAGCAGCGTTTGTACGAGGTCAGCGACTCGTTTTTAAGCAGTTCATCCAACAAAGTAACGTTTGCTCAAAGTTTTATACTTGGTTGGATCATGGGTCACACAAATGGGTACCCTCAAAACTTAAGGAGTGTTTCATCGATTTCATGAAAATTAACTTTAGAGCTGATATATGGTACTTCATCCCGGGTTTGATTTTTACAGGGCGCTTTATTCAGTAGAAATTGCATTTAATTTGTAAAGTACAATGAACAAACTAATCGGCGATGAGTACAACTGATGCTCTAAAAGCAAAAGTGCAATATGGCATAGAAACATTAACATCTCTACATTGTGTTACATCTATTGTCAACACAGCATTGATGTGATTCCAGCGTCCTAGATCTCTATAATTAAGCCTTTTGGGATACATGAAATCAAAAATCCTTTATTGTATGAGAGGATCCTACTCTGTACAATGGAGTAAAAGATACAAGTCTCTAACAATTTGAATCGCAAACACTTGTCAGTTTCAACCCAGCTGTTTATGTTGACGAAATAATTTCCTCTTAGCAACTTGTGGTTTCATGTAATTTGGCTCAGAGTTTCGTTTTCCACTGTATCTCCTTGCTTAACACAATGGAGAACTAATCTGAAACGATCCATCGATCGTGAAAATCAAATGGGATTTGGATAGATTTCTCCACACATAGTTCATCTTGATTCCTCTAATTTCGGTAGATTTGGTCGAAATGACTTCACCAAATTATTGACATCGGATCAGTCGATTTTCTTCGGAAAGACGGATTGGCCACCTCAAAGAAGACAGGAAGGAAGATCTCACATTTGGTGATACTGCTGCAGACGTTGTGGATGTGTGTTATGGTGACAAAAATGGGGAGGGGCTAATGGTTATGGTGGTGGAGATTAGGGATGATGTTAAAGATTATGGTAACGGATTGAAGAAGGGGAGAGACAGAACGCAGATGTTATTTCAGTTATAATTGTGTATTCAGGTGCCAGTGTGAAAGTAATGGTGACGATGATGGTGACTTTTGTGAAGATGGGGTGATATCGGTGATGGTATAAAAGTGGCGATAATATTGACGATGAAGTCGACGATGGTGTTGCTGGTAATTGCGAAGATAGTGATTGTGGTGATAATTGGGAAAGTGGTTTGAAGGTAAGAGTGTGACGTAGGTGAAGACTGGAGTTGATGTTAATGGTGATTAAGACCGGAATGAGGGAACGTGGTGGTGGATGGGCACATGACCGAATGACTCCATCTTCAGCGTTACATACCACGAAAGATTCCTTTGTACTGGATTAAGAACACGAGCTATCAAATGAGCAGGATATAATCCAATGAAAACTTAAATATTAAACGATACTATCATTTCTTTTTTCATATTTTATCCTTCCGAGGCTCGACATGAATGATTTCTGCAGACAAACCCCATGCTTGTCACTGGCTTGTAGTATGTTAAGATATATATACTCACCTGTGTAAGTTGACCTTACAGTAATCCACTACGGTTGTTTTTTCGCGTCATTAAGGACGCTTTCAATTTAATTGTTAAGTATATTTGTGAAAATGTTCGTGGAAAATGAGGAAAAAGACTTATCAAAACAAAGTGTGCAAATTGTTATATGAAGTCTATTCAAGTTTGATTCCTTTAAAAGTAATAACGAGCTGTACTCTACACGCTTCATAGTTTTTTGAATGTGTCATTCAAAAGCATTGTTGAGCAAAATTTGCGATGAATTATTTGTTTTCTCAAACTGACAAAAACCTAGACAAATCAACTTTTCTATCTAGTGTTTTTGTCATTTTAATACACTTGATTCAAATATTAACTTGGCGCATTTTGAAAGCAAAATGTGGTTTATTCTCAATTTAATCGTAAATTAGCATTTGAGAAAAATCGCGTTCTTTTTCCTTCTCTCTTTTCACGAAATAACAAAAAGTCGCCTCGGTAGCAGGATAAAGTAGCGACAAAAAAGGTTCTCTTCGAATTAGCATGCAGGCGTATGCATGCAAACAAATGATTAGTGTTGAACATTAAAACGTGTGAGAGTCTTGAAATTCAACAAAATGTAACATTTTCCAGATGTGCATGTGTTCATGAAGTGAAAAAGTGTGTCCGATAAAATAGGAAAAGGTAGAATCCCGAGGTTTTGCTGTGGTAGGAAGTGAAAAGGGGTTTTATTAATGAGTTACTGTGTAGTTAAAACAATTATTTCTGCGAGTGTGGCTTTTAGTTTAAAAAAGGGTCATGAAACGGGAAGCATTTTCGAAAGCGTTCATCTCGGAATAACTGTATAGTCAATACCGTCACAACTGTCCCGTCTTTCGTGTATAGCGACAAGCAACATTATAAGGCATTACATTGCCCTTCAAAACATACAGCGGTTCGCTGAAGTCAACAGCACCTTATCATTTTATCTAAACACTTGAATTGTAAAAGAGTTCGGTATTCTCTCACAGGGGTTGATCCATATGATCCATACCAGTGACCAGGTGCCAATCAGTTCCTTACGTGCAACACAATGACCAGTGACTCTAACTGCTGTGGCACCGTACTCACACGCACATTCTTCAGCTTGACGTGTGCGTGCATTTGGCAAATCAGGACACCCTATTGGTCGAAGAGACATGTAGCGCGCGTACCACCTGGTCGCGAGCATTGTGCCACCGCAGTAATGGCTTCTACTTCTGGTGGTCGAATTACACTATACGCTAACGTACGGCTTTCTTTCTTTCTAGAGACAATATGATAACCTTTCTGATCGTCCGTGAAGTCCTGGGTAGTACTATGTTAGAATTAATGAGACGATTCTGCTGTTTGTATTTCCTGTACGAATGAAGAACTATCCTTATTCTTCTGCTAAAGTGTCTAAGAAGGACTGTGTAGAGTACGCTGTATATGATAGAACCAAAGATCGTATAGCCAGATGGCGAACTTCACCGTGAATACACGTAAAACGTTGTAATCGTATTGTAATCGCATGGGCGCCATTTGAGCAAATGATACGCCTGCACAATGCACATTAATGCACAGGCGCAGGCGCCGCGGCAGGCACGTGCACCTGGTGAGCCTTCACCTCAGCATTACCGTAAACTGCGCAGGCGTATCGCTTGCTAGAATGGCGCCCATGGTAATTACACCTTTTGAACAGAGTTATCTATCTTTGCGCTATACGATCTTTGGATAGAACTATGCCTACTTTCCAAATTTTGCCATAGGTGAGTAGGTGGGTGGCGATTTCGAGCAGGGTTCTGGCGCGGTGCTGGTGCTCGAGTGGGAGTGTGTGTCGGATTTGTCATGTCCTCGATGTCGGATTCCTCAGGATCCTGCTGGGTTGGTGTCTTGGTCTGGATGTGTTTGTTTCGCGAGATGTTGCGTGTGACTGTGTGAGTGCCACGCTGAGCTGTTACCATGGATCCTTTTTTGGCAGTCACAGTGTAGGGGTGAGTATGGTATGGGGTTTGGTGTTTTGCGACTAGTCCATCGCGTCGTAGAAGGACTGTATCACCGATTTCAATGTTCTTGGGACGTGCATGCTCTCTGTTGTCAGCGTATTGTTTCATCTCGGCTTTCTTGCATTTGTCACGCAATCTGACAGGTTTGGCTCGCGATTTGTGCACGGTTTCAGGGAGACGTGTGCGAAGAGGCCTGCCAAAGAGTAGCGTTGCAGGTGCAACTCCTGTCGTAGCATGCGGCGTCGCTCGGTAATTTCGCAGGAACTTATAGAGAGCTTGTTTCCACGGTATTCTGTCTGTGATTGCAGTGCGATATGTCTTTTTGATTGTTTTCATGAACCGTTCCACCTCCCCATTGGCACGGGGCCAACGTTGGGTGACTTTCCGATGGTGGAACCCGAGGTAGTCTGCGAAGGATGAAAACTCGGTGCTGTTGAAGGGTGGCCAGTTGTCAGAGCGTACCACCTTTGGAATGCCGAACGTGGCCAAGATACGATCCAGTTTGGGAATTACCGAACGGGCGGAAGTGGAAGTCACGATTTCAACTTCGGGAAAACGACTGTAATCGTCCATGACTACGAGGAGATGTTCTCCTGTGGGAAGATCACAGAAATCGATGCTGACTTCGAGCCATGGGCCGTCTGTGAGTGTAGACATAGTGAGTGGTGTTCGAGTGTCATTCGGTGTTGTCAACTGACATGAGAGGTAGTCGCGAACCGTGTTGTCGACGAGTGTGTCCATGTTGGGAAACCACACTTTCTCACGAAGTAGCTGTTTAGTCTTTGTCATGCCTTGGTGTCCTTCGTGAGCAATGTCGATAATCGATTGTGCGAGTGCTTGTGGAATCACGATACGATTTCCACGCAGCAGCAGGTCGCGATCAGTTGTTGCCGTTAGTTCTTCGCGCACTTTGTGTAGACTCTTGAGGGTCACGAGAGTCTCTTAGTTGTGGGGTTGTCTCAAGAGTGTGTCCCAGCTATGGGTGGCGACCACGTCGATGGTCGACTGGAGAACCGGGTCGTCGTGAGTGCAGTGCGGATTTTGTCAAGGGTGACTGACTTGGGCACGGCGTGTTCCTCTGCGAGGCGTTGTTCGCGACTGGTGACTCTAGGATGTCTATAGGGGTGCCGTGACATATAGTCCGCGGGATTCAGCTTTCCTTGCTGATACTCAACGGTGAAGTTGTACTCCTGCAACTTCATTAACCAGCGCTCGATACGTGTCGGTGCTTGGCTGTGCTGGTTATTGAACAGTGGGACCAACGGTTTGTGATCTGTGATAACGCGGAAGGTGCTACCGCACACATAGAGGTGGAAGTGAAGTATTGCCCAAGTGATAGCGGGAGCTTCGCGTTCCGTCTGGGAATACCGCTGTTCAACGGGTGTCAGAGATCGACTGGCAAGAGCAACAATCGACAGTTCATCCGTGTCGTTGCGTTGGGCAAGAATACCGGCTAGGCCGACCGGGCTAGCATCAACGAGCAGTTCAGTCTTCTTGCCGGGGTCGAAGTATGCCATGGTACAACAGTGTACGACTCTTTCACGAATCTGCGTGAGCGCTTGCTGGTGTTCCGGCCCCAGTTCCAGGTGGAGTCTTTCTTGGTCAACTCGCGCAGTGGGGCGGAAATAGTGGCAAGGTCTGGTATAAACCGGTTACAGTACGTTACCAGGCCAAGGAAACTCCTGACCTCGCTGGCGTTAGTGGGGTCAGGAACTTGTTGGATGGCTTCGACTTTCTTCTTGTCGGGAGAGATGCCACTGGAACTGAATACATGGCCGAAGTATTCAACACGTGACTGACCGAAACTGCATTTATCTCTGTTCAGAGTTAGGTTGCATTCGCGAAGACGTTGCAGACAGGCTGCAAGTCGTGTGTCATGTTCGGCTTGCGTGCGACCAAACACGAGGATGTCATCGCTGATGTTTAGCATACCCTCCAGGCCACAGAGAGCCGAGGAGATCGTGTTTTGGAAGACTTCCGCTGCTGAGCTTACGCCGAAATTCAAACGCTTGTAACGGAACAAGCCTTTGTGCGTTGAAAACACAGTCAGGTGGCGCAATTCTGGGGCCAGATCAACTTGGTGGTAGCCTGCGTTAAGGTCCATTTTGCTGAACACGGTAGCGCCATTGACCTGAGCGAGGATGTCGTCGATGGTGGGTGTTATGTGGCGTTCGCGTTTAATAGCAGCATTGAAGTTTCGCATGTCCACGCACATACGAATCTCACCTGGTCGATTAGGTTTTTCGACCACATGTATGGGTGAGACCCACGGAGTTGGCTCATTGCGTACCGGCTCAATGATGTCAAGGCGAAGTAGCTTGTCAAGTTCGTTCTCAACTTTCTTGCGGACATGGAACGGGATACAACGGTGTGGCAGGGCAATCGGTCGGACAGTCTCGTCCACGGGTAGCTTGCACTGAATGTTCTTTAACTTGCCGACCCCAGTGAAAAGTTCTGCAAATTGTTCCACAAGACTGTCCATGGGCTTATGGGGGTTTTGGGGTGAAGGTTGTAGGCCACATGGATGACGCGGAGAGCAGACGCTGTTTGGAAACTGATCAATGTGTCTCCAGTGGTTTTGGTGACACAGAAGGTGCAGTTCACTTGGGACCCCTTATAAGAATAGAAGTGTCAAATGTGCCAACAATCTCCAGGGGTGTTGAACTACCATAGGCAAAGACTTTGGCTGCATTGTCCTTGCACAGTGGCNAATGTTTGGCAAAATGATTGAGTTTACCATACGTGTGGCATGTCACCCCCTTTGCTGGGCATTATTGTTTGTGAGGAAACGTACCTCCACAGTTGCGACAGGGTACAGAGCTTCTGGGCTTGGACAACCGTGAGGATTTGCTCGGTTCACGTTCCTTCATATGAGGCTTTGCAGTCATACGGTTGGCTGCGTCTCTGCTCGAGTGCTGGGAATGCTGTTCAATGTCTTTGGACTGGCTGTCAGCCAGTTCGTAGGCTCGGGCTGTGGTGAGCAACTTTGAGAGGCTGAGCTCTGTTTCTCGAAGTGCATAGCGTCTCAGCTTTGATGAGGTACAACCATGGATGATTTGTGATTTCACCTCACTTTCCGTGTCATGGAATTCACAAGTTTTGGCGAGTTGTTGCAGGCGGGTTGCAAAATCTGCGACAGTTTCGCTGTGTTGTTGTTTTGCCTCACGAAAAACAAAGCGTTCGTACTCGATGTTCTTGCTCGGTTCGAAGTACTTTGCAAGAGCACTCTGCCCTGATTCATATGTAGAACCAGTGTCCGATAGAGTCTCGAAGATGACCGTTACTTCAGGGCCAGAGTAATGTAGAAGCAGTGCCCGCTTTTGTTGGTCATCAGTAACTTTGAATGCAACAAACAAATTCTCCAGCCTGGCTATGTATTTCCTCCTCCGTACGCCGGTAGTGGATGGTTCATGATGAGGCTGGAAGGCTGGGAATGACGGTAATTTAGTTGCGGACATGTTGACTATCACCGTTACTGTACAGCGGCGAGGTATATCACTACTGGTTAATGCGTGTTATGCAGACACATGTAAGGAGACGAAACGTTTTGACTTTAGTCACTCACTGACTCAGTCTTTCCGACGTGGAAATGCACTGTTCACGGTTACAATCGGCGGTAAAATTCACTTTGCTAATGTTGTAGGGTTCCTCCACAACACAGAAAAATCCCGAACTCGTCGCCAATTGTAATATCCTAAGGCGTTTAGCTTAGAATGAGAGAGTGAGACATACACGCTGTTTTAGGTGGCTGTACTGCAGTAACGAGGAGTGCGTGACCCTTGACCTTTAATGCTTTCCAAAGTATATGTACTTTGTCCCAGTTTGGACATGTATTAAGAATACTACAAATACTATAACTTTTGAAAATGAGGTAAAGATAATAAAACTGAATGGATCGAGTAAGAGGCAGACTGCCACATCAGGAACGATGCGTCTGCGAACGTGCAACTTAATAACAATGAAATTCTTTGTTCCTATCCTGTGTCACGGTACAAATCCGGGACAGCCCAGGTTAGATGCCAGTCTTCATTGTACTACGACTGACGTCCAGCTCTTGCGTATAGTGTAACTAGAAATTTGTACCAATTTATTCTAAACTAATTTCCGTTTCCATGTTCTGTATGTCTCTACCTATCTGTGGGGGGGGGTTAAGGAATTTCAGAAAGAGCT